AAATATTCATTGATGATGAAAATGTCAACAGTGCAAAGGAACCATTTTGTCATTTCAAGAACCCCTTTGAAATGCCAGTGATTGAAGCAGGGTCTTGACTATCCTTTGCAAATCTTTAACAAGAAAGGCCCAGTTCAGCTGGTCACATGGAACAAAGTAGAACAAGGACACCGGATTAATCTCTCCTGGAGTCTGGGGCTGTGACTGTACTTACAAAGAGCAGAGGAAACCAAAGCAGTGGGGAGGATTTTTAAACAACCACTCCCAAAACATCCAAGCATTTGAGATTCAGCATTTCCACTTTGTGGAAAAAAATGTCCTCATTTCACTTTGTACTGGATATGAAGGCTTTGCCTATAAACAGAAATAGTTAAAGTTGGAACAGGGCATGGCAGTTCATCTCAGTCATCCTAAACCATCCCAACCAAGATGAGCCAAGGGACCTTCACAGAGAACACGGTGAAACAAATGTACTCGTGTGTTGCCTGATCAAGGTCTGCTTGTTTTGGCCCAGGTGCACCTGGCCTGAGCCCATGTAATCTTGATAAACAGAAATGAATGCACCTCAGTCACCATTACCCATGGAGCCTGTGTTGGAAGAGCTGGGTTCTGGCTCAAGTGTAGCTTGGAGACTTTCCATCAGGGACCTGGGCTATGTGTAGCTCCACAGAGACTTCTTCCTGGGATCCAAGAAACACTTTCCATTTGCCAGTGCTTGTCTCAGGCCAAGGCAGGGGTGGGATGGCCACTGCTTCAGTGTGGGCCTGGGCTATCTTAGGCCTGGGACAGAACAGCCCTGTTTCCTCCCCCACCCCTCACCCCTGCAGCACTGGCACCACCGATGACGAGTGGTTCAAACCTTGCTCAGCAGTAGAGGGGCTGTTGGGATAGTGCCTTCTTCCCACTCTTACACGGTGCCTAGTGACACACACGTACCTGGCTGAGCAGTCTTCATTTGGGCCCTCAGGCCTTTGGGTGAACTCTGAGGCTCCCACCATGATATGTGGATGGCTAGGAGTTGAGACCCATTTCATGGACTCAGAGCTACCAAGAGTGTGGTGTGCGCCACAGTATTCAGGGCAAGCTTTGGCCCTCTGACCTTGGTCTCCCATGCACACCTCTTGTGCTAGTGCTCTCCTCGTCTCCTGTCACTCTCCTTAGCAACAGCTTCCTTTCCTTCATTCCTCAGGTATTGACTGAGAACTTATATGTGTGAGACAGATCTTTGCTGATATGTAGGCATAGCTATTCCCTCACAAATGGAAAAGGCTGGGGAAGGAAATGAGCATTGATTAAATCCTTGCTCTGTGCTGGAAGTTTAGGAGCATGATCTCATTTAATCCTGCCCTCCCCCCTACAAAGAAGCCCTCATTATTCTGATAAGTGCCAGAAAGACATGGAAGTTAAAGGCAGGATGCTGATGCCTGACTTCAAGGTCCAGCTTTGCTTCTCATTTCTGTGACCATGGATGTGCCCACTATGCCAGAAAATGGGAAGCGAGCTACTATGAACATTAAATGAGTTAACATGTAAACTGTGTAGAACAGCTCTACAGAAGAGTTAGATTATTATCATATTATTGGCTACTACATATTAGGGACAAGAGAACAGAGCCTCAGCACCCATGTGTAGAGTCTGAATTCTTCGAGCCTCCTTTCATCTAATGTTGTAAAGTACTGTCCCCTCTTGGGGATGGTTATATTCAGTGTGTGGCCAGAAACTTAAGAGAATTTTTGACCAGTGTGCAGAAGAGAATTTGGGGAATTATCTGAGTTGTCTTTGGACCTCTGAACTGAGGTTTGCCAACAACTAACAGTGGGCCCCCAACTATTTTGGAGAGGGCTGGTGGCATAGGACAATGGACCTGGAACCTGCCTCCTCCAAGCCAAGTTGAGACCACATGGCCAACACTGACTTCCTCTCCACCTCTCCTTGTACCTGTCCCCCTCCTACAGTCTGGGTAGAACTGTATGAAAACAGGAGGTGGAATTTAAACCCACATCTTCCTGGCTTCAAATGCCATGTTCCCTCTAGTCTGATGTTCGTCAGTTCCCCCACAGCTGCCCAGACATCCGTGCCAGACAGACAAAGGAGGCCACAAAGGTTGACACCATTGAGACTTGGCCTTTGTATGCAAGGAAGAGGACAGGAAACTGGGACATAGGAAAATTCTGGGTATAGTCATACCTATACAGAGCTAAGTTATCTGATCACTCAATTTGTAAATCCAGTCAATGGAAAGGTCACATGCTCTTACCTAACATGCTACAAGGGACTCCCTTTGGACCCAAAGCAGGAAACTGTCCCAAGGTGTTCTTGGTCAGGCATAATGCTTCCAGGGAGGAACATTTTCTGGAACTCACATCATAGCCCAAATCAATACTATCCTCATTTATGATCTTAGGCAAGTCTCTTAAGCTCTCTGAACCTCGATTTACAAATATGTAAAACAGGGCAAATAATCCTTATCTCCCAAAGTTTTCCTAAAGATAATGAGAAGACATATGTTCAAAGGCCAGGGCCTGGCCCACAGGAGATGTTTTTGATTTGTGAGTTTTTCTAGACCCCACAAGAATGCAAGTGTGGTTTCATGTAGTGCTACCCCATAAAAGGACAATCTAGAACAAGGCTTTCTGAGGTATGTACTTCATACCTCACATTGGTAAAGATGTGAGCCTGTGTCTCCCTTCCTTGAGCCATGAATATTGGACCCCTTCTCAGGAGACTCCATCCCAGAATCAGCATCTTGTCCAGCTCCCTCCAGGGCCCTTAGCCTCTGGGCCTGTCCACCTGCCTCTCCCCATCAGGCCCTTTCAAGCTTTTCAGTGTTGTGCCCACTGGTTTCATCACAGCCAGACAATACTTGGCACCAAGCTAACAAACTTCTTCATTCTGCCATGAGTCTCTAGAAGCCCATTATCCTACCTGCCTAGGAGAGAAGAGGGTACAGGGCTAAAGGGTATGGAGGGCAGCTGCCATCCCAGTTCCAAGGCCCGGAACCAAAGTCTAAAAGGAAGCTCCTCCAAAGATGGGTTTCAGTGATCAAAGAGACAAAGGCTGAAAGAATCTTCCAGGAGAGAAGGGAAAAGGAAAGCTCTTTCCAGGTCAAAAGGCATGAGTGTTTAGCCAATTATTCATCATGACTCCTGGATGACTGTGACTGATTCTTTATTCCACAGGTATGGAGGGTAAAGGCTTTTTAATTTTTTTGCAGCGTTTCTTCCCCACCCTGCAAACTGTTCTCATCCTGTGGGCTAGGGGCCACCCAATGTAGCAAAGAGAGTGAAGGGTTGGGAGTAGGGATACCTGAGTTCAAGCTGCTGTTCCTGTCTCCCCAGCATGTGACCTGTTGGGCCTCAAGTTCCTCATGTGAACATCTGGATGGTCCCACCTCAGGGCTGTGGTGAGCAGTCAGTGAGATCACATCTGAGGCACCGCCTCATTGAGAGGGAGCACAGCAGTCACAGGTCATGCTGTCTCAGTATCAGTAAAGAATAGGTTGCTAGGGCCAGGGATTTAGCTCAGTGGTTCCACTGCCTGCCTTGCAAGCACAAGATCCTGGGTTCGATCCCCAGTACCAAAAAAAAAAGAATAGATTGCTTTTTAAACAAAGTGTTTTGTGACACTGAGGGATTTGAAAAAGTCTTAAAGGCTGAGGAAGAGTAATCACATGCTTTGATTTCTTCCCTGTTTCTTCATCCTGACCTCATTATCTTGGGGAAATGTGGGCTCTTCTGAGGGAGTTGTAGCAAAGGACCACTGCGGGCCCCACACAGAGCCTAGAGGAGCAGCCAGCATCCGGGCAGGCTGGGGAAGGATGTGCTCTGACCTGCCTCCACTTTAGGTCTGCACTATGCACCTTTACTGTTGTGGACCATTTCCCCCATCAAAAGATATTGAACATAAGCTGGGCATAGTAGTATATAACTATAATCTCAGCACTCAGGAGGCTAAGGCAGGAATATTGTGAGTTCAAGGTCATCCTGGACTACAGAGTGAGATCTTGTCTCAAAAAAAAGAAAACATTGTATTTTATGACTGCACAAGTGTAAAAATGAATCTAGGCAGGGTGAATTACTATGTATTCATTGTTATTATTATGAATTTAAATTTTCCTATGATGCTCATAGAAAGGACTTATGAGGAACAGTTTGGTCACGAGAGGGCAGCATGAGGTCACTGTAGGCACATGGGAGGTGGGGCAAAGGGAGGGTGGAAAGACAGCAACTCCACCTCTGACTCACAAAAGGCTTTTGCTTCTCACAGTGTTTCCTAAGAGAGTGCTGTGTTTGCTTCTCACGTCAGTACCCAGAAAGCTGGTGGGTGGGGCAGGACTGGTCGTCAAGGGCCTGGGTAGGGAGCTTACTTACCCTGGGACTGTCTGTCATACAGGGCCACAAAGTGGCAGAGGTGGAGCCCCCTAGAATCTCCTGACTTCTCCTGCTACACTCCTCCCTCAGTGCCTTGGACCCACTAGGTAATCTGAGTTCTGAGGGACTGGGATCTCAAGGCCAGACCAGCTCACCCCCTACCACATCCAACCCCTGAACCATTGCTGGGGAAGAGCAGCCCTGTGGGCCTCAAAGCACAGCTCCACCGTCCACATTCAGGCAGAAGGAAAAGAAACGCTGCATTCCAAGCCTCCCTCGGGACCAAGCACGCCTTTGTTCACTCTCTCCCCAGCCACACGCATAAGCCTTATGGGTAGGAGACAGTCTCAGCCCTCCCTTGGGAGCAGAGCAGTCACTCAAAGGCATGCAAAAGGCAAATTCACTGTACAGAGTGTATACAGGGAAATAAAAGCTGCACGGGCTCTGAGTGCTTGAGCAAGGAAGTATAGCAAAGCAGGAAAGTCCAGACACAAAACCAAACAAAACACCAGGCATAAAATAATCCACTCTCAGGGAGGCAGTTTCCACCTCCTGGGAGGAACACCCAGCGTGCAGTCAGGCAGAGTGGGCAGGCACATGGGAAACAATAGGCCTTTCTTTCTCCCGCAGCTGAGCACACACCCAGGAGAAAGGAGCCCCTCTCAGGAAGGCGAAGTCCGAGCCCGGCCCAGAGAGTATGTGAGGCCAGTTGACAACACAGTACTTGCATTCAAATTCCTTCTGAAAAGGTAAAGGGGCTGCGTACACTCATGTAAAAGATAAGAATTTCCTTCTGAACAAGAAATAAAAGATTGTACATTTTTCCAGGGACTCTGAAATGGATGTTGCAAGAGGCAACCTGGGGTGGTTTGTCAGAAGGAGCCAAAAAAGTTCCAGGAATAAGCAGTCCTTGGCCCAGTGGACCAGGCCCGAGACAGGGGGAGGTGCCTCACCCAGAGGCCTGGGTGATTACAATGGGTTGGCGGGGCCCCTGGGTGTTCCTGACCCTGCTCCAGGGGCAGAGGTGACATCCACCCCCTGGCAGTTTTGTCCTCAGAACTGAGTAGGCAGGAATCCTTCCCATGCACACAGCGTGACCCAGTGCTGGTCTCCGCTAGGCAGGCCCAGACGGGGGAGGAATGACAGACCTGTCATGTGGTTTTGGAGCAGGAGGCATAGTTCAGTTTCTGGTTGCCACAGTCCCACCCCTGACCTCCACAGGATTGGACAGGGAGGAAAGGAGCCCCTGGCAGATTGCCTGGACATTCCTGAGGCTGTGGATTCAGCACCTTCCTAAGAGGGCAGCCATGGTGAGTGCAAGCCATGGCTTTCCCCAGCTGAACCAGCCCCGGTGCAATGAAACTCAGAGAAAACAACTGCCCTCCAGAATTGGAAAGGACTTAGGATGATTTGTCTTGTTTGATAACCTCAAATTAGTTCTAGAAGGGGCTTTGGAGGAAGTATAGTCAGATGCTGATGAGGCCCAGAGATGATATGACTTGCTCCACGATGATTGGAGAGCAGAAACAGAAAGCTTTGGTTCCTAATTTATGGTGATTGCTGTGAGTTTGAGGCCAGCCTGGGCTACATAGTGAGGAGTTCAAGACCAGTCTGAACTACATCCTCAGACTCTCATGGACAGCAGAGCACCTAAAGGGTCTTTCTTGCTGGACTATGATTACTGTTTCAGTAGGTTTAGGTGGGCTGACAGGCAAGTTTCATGGTAACACAAGGTTGTAGGTCTAGGGACACACTTTGAGAACCACTAGGATCATTTAACACCTTCCAACAACTCACTTTTCATCCATGCCCAGGGCACTCTGTGGATGAAGTGAATCAGAATCCCTAGGGGTGGGACACAGACATCAATATTTTTTATAACTCTCTGAGTGATTCCAAAGATTTCCCCACTATCATGTCTACTATTCCAAATGGATAATTTCCACATGATAGGTGATTTAAAAAAAACAAAACACCGTCTGGACAAGAAGGCATCATTTTCTATCCTGCAATTAAATAATAATGAGGTATAATTGTATAATGACAGCTAACACCTGTTGAATGCTTATAATCCTGTGCCAGGATGAACTAATTTGTTCCTTCCAGTAATTATCCTCATTGTATAAGTCATGAAGCAGGTACCCCTGAAGTTAGTTTGTCCACGCTCTTGCATGAGTGAGAAGGCTGAGATTTGAACACAGAGGTGGCCTCAGAGGCCTTGCCTGTGGTCTGCACCATAGGGCTGTATCACCCAGTATGTGGAGACAGACTGACAGTCTTATTCTCTGTGGGCAGTTTTTATGGGGAAAAATGGAATAGGCTTGATCATCTATTAAACTGGGCTAAAATCCAGGATTCCCCACTTTACAATTGCAATGGTTTGAATGTTTTTCTCCCCTTCAAAACTCAAGTTGAAACTTAATCCCCAAAGCCAGAGTTGAGAGGTAAGGCTAATGGGAGCTGTTCAGGTCATGAGGGCAGGGCTGTAGGAGTGAGTTCTCTTTCTTTTGCTCTTCCTTCTTGTGAGAAACAGAGTTCCTCCCTCTGGAAGATGCAGCATCCAGGGCACCATCTTTGAAACACAGATGTGCCCTTAGCAGACACCAAACCCACTGGTGCCTTGATCTTGAACATTGTAGAAATTAGAACCACAAAAAACAAATTTCTTTTGTTCAAGCCCTAAAAGAAAATAATCTTCAACCCAGATTGATGTACTTCACAAAATTGTCTTTCAAAATTAATGGAGAAATAAGATACTTTCATGGTAAGGAACACCTGAAGAAATTCATAACCACCAAACCAGAACTCCAAAAAGTTCTGAGATATTTAAACGTGTGTGAAAGCAAATGGGAACTAGGTGTGGTAGCACACTCCTGTAATCCCAGCACGCAGGAGCCTGTGCCAGGTGGATTTTTGTGGGGATTGCTATGAGTTTGAAGCCAGCCTGGGCTACATAGTTAGTTCAAGACCAGTCTGAACTACATAGCAAGACTCTGTCTCAAAAAACAACAAGCCTGAAAAACTCTCTTGGGTTCTGAAGACCCTTAGAGGAAAGGCTAATGAAGAAGAGGAAGAGAATACATTTTTGCTGAATCTTGGCTGAGTGCTAAACACTAGACCTTGTGCTCAGCAAATTTCTTTTAGTTTCCCTTCAGGCCTCTGAGGTAGGCACATTTATGCCCATTTTCCAGATAAGAAAATAGGCTCAAAGGGCTAAAGTACTTATTCAAGTTGCATCACTATTGTCAGTTCATTTTGTGCTTTGTAACAGAATACTACAGAGTGGGAGATATATATATATATAGATATATATATATATAGATATATATATATATATAAATTTGTTTCTATATTTCTTTCATTACAGTATTTTTATTTTTATTTGTCATACATAATGATCACATAATCATACAGAATTTGTACCTGTACATAATTATGTCTTAATTCAATTTTTTTCTCATTCCCCTCCCCTCCCTTCAACTCTACTTCCCCTCTCCATTTACAAAGTTTTGTTTCCATTGTTTCCCTTCCATTCTCCATTTTTAAAATCCATTTTCCCTTCCTCCTCTTCCCTCTTCCCCCTCCCTGTTCCCCTTCCCATTTGAACATGTTCTTCCTACTTCCTGATATGTATCTTCTGTTTTGCTCCTGACTTACCCTTTGGGTTTCTCACACAAGATTTCGTGTGCTGTTTAAAGCAAATTGGAAGAACATTTTCAGAGACTCCAGGATGACTAATTTTTTTTGTCATCAAACTCAGGATTTTTTTAAATCAAACTCAGGATCTTGTGCTTTCGAGGCAGCCACGGCTCCACTGAGCTAAATCCCCAGCCTAGGATAACTAATTTTTATATACTTCCACTTCTTTAAAAAAAAAAAGTTGTTTATTTTTGTTTGTTGGTTTGGTTTTTTTTTTGAGACAGGGTCTTTCCATGTAGTTCACTGGCCTTTAACTCACTACATAGCCCAGGCTGGCCTCAAACTCGACAATTCTCCTGCCTCAGCCTCCTGAGTACTGGGGTTAAAGGCATGCACCACCATGCCTGTCTAGGGGTATAATGTTAAATGATCTGAGAAAGCATCTCTGTTAAGTACTAGAGCAGTCTAATCCAGACAGAGACCATTTTGATTTCAGGAAGGAAAAAATTTTAAATTGCAAAGTATTGTACTCAATCTGTTATCATTGCTGATGTTGTTGGCAACATAAAACTCTGATAGGTCTTCCACTACCTCAGCAGCCATTATGTATAGTAGCTGCCCTCTTCCTATGGTGCCTTGCCCCCTCCCCTGTGTGACGTCATGCCAAGATGTTTGCTCCCACCAAAGAACAAACCCTTCTTCCCAGCATGCCCCTGGTCCCACCTAGAGAGTAACCTAATACTCGCTCACCTCCTACCACCTAGTAACGTCACCGGCTCCTCCACTCCTTGATCACTACCTCACTCAACCCCGCCTCAGCCCCTACAAACGCCACCCCTGTCTCTATAAAAGACTCTCCCTGCCCCGGCCATGTTGCTTTTGTATCTCCTTTGTTCAGAGGCAGCCCGGCAGATCTATTCCCCTAATAAAGGTTTGTTGTGGCCTGGTCTGGTCTTGGTCTTCAGCCCTTTTACCTGACAAACTCCTTTTTAAAAGGCAAAGATAAACTGGGAATGCTGGTACACACCTGCAATTCTAGCACTCAGGAGATTGAGGTAGGAGGGTTGTGAGTTCAAGGCCAGCTTAGGTAATGACCAGACTCTGTCAAAAAAACCCCCCCACCACCACCAACAACAACAAACCCCCTCACAATGATAAGCATTGGGAGCACCATTTAATAAGACTATATTTAAAGTGAGCCAGTTGATGTGTATGAGAGATATCTGAAATGCATTCTGTGGAAGGAAAGGCAAATACGATTTTATACCTCTATTTGGATAAAAGGGACTGAGATGAAAGGCATTTGTGCAAATTTCAAATAGATTTTCAAATCTAGAAAAAAAAAACCCAAGTGTGGATTAAGTTTTACTTTGAAATTTTTAAAAAGCTAAAATAGTTTACTGTGGTTTCTGAAATTTGAAAATCCTATTTAATAGCAAAAATGGGACCTATTTTGTCTTTAAAAAGGAGCAGAGTGTGACACAAGAATGAAAGGAGCACCATCTCATTCCTGTTTGTTACCATCATCATCCCTGAGTGAACTAGTCTTTTTTTTTTAACTAGTCCTTTTAAGGGTGTCAACAGAAGTGTGTCCCAGGTTACTCTTTATTATAGAACCACCCAGTGAGTTCCCCTCAGAGTCAAGGGCAGGTGTTATGGTTGTGTTTAAATGTCCCCACAAAGCCTCACACAGCTATAGGTGGGGCTTTTACTGAGGTGGCTGGATCTAGAGTGTGTGACACTGGAATTGATTCATGGTGCAACGCTAGGCTCAAGGGCACTAGGATTAAGGATGTGAGTGCTACCCACCCTATGAGGTCTGAATAAGACATAAGGGGCAGAAGGATGCTGTTAAGGTCCTTTTGTTGCTTTCAGTATCTTCTGGCCACCATGACCTGTTTCTCCTCTGCAGGGCCTGTCTGCCACCCCACCTTCCTTGATGCTAGCTGATTATGGACTGAAACCTCTACAGACTGTGAGCTAAATAAACCTTTTCTCCTTTAACTTTGGGTGTTGGGTATTTTGTCTCAGCAATGAGAAAAGTAACTAAGATAGCAGAATTCTGGGATTTGGCCCTAGCCACTGCACACCTCTGAAAATCAGGCCCTTGACTGTCCCTCCAACCCACATCATCCTGGAATATAGAACATGGAGCTCACCACCTGCAATCTCCAGGTAGTACTTGAATTGCTGAGCAAACACTTGCTATTGGCAAAAGTACAAAGCTCGGTGCGTCCAACAGGAAAAACTAAACACAGAAGAACAGCATCAGCTGGGTGGGGTGGGGCACAGGAACTTTGAGGAGACCCTTGTGGCTGTGGCTGAGGTCGAGCTAGGGTGGGTCCTGGTCACAAGGGATGGAGAGGCGGGGACCGAGGACGGTACACCTCTCATCCCATGCCTTGCTAGTGCTGTGCCTCTGGAAGGACTCGGTGCGCAAGCTAACCATGGATGTCTCCCTGACAGCCCGCCTTGCATCCTGTGGCCAGTTGCTGCCACATTCCCGAGCGATTCCCCATGAGACTCCTGGACACCACCTTGTCTGTGCCTGGCTGACGTCTGAACGCACCCGTGGGCACTGAGCACAAAGCTGTCACCATTTACCTGATGTAGAGGGAATAGATGTAACTTCCAAACCTGCTAGGTATCTGAAACTCAAGTTCATGTTCTCTAAAATCGAAGAATGAATTCTAGGAACAATGGACATTAAAAGTAGGAAAAATTTCTTAAGAGAAGGAAAGCTTCTAAGAGAGACAGAAGGGGTACCAGAAAGTGAGTTGCCCCCTCACCCAACTTCTCAAAGGTGTTTTATGGGACAAAGCCACTAGGTGAGCCGGGTTCAAGGTGGGACAAAACTATAGTCAACTAGTAAGATTGCAAGTACAGTTGCTTGGGTAATACTGATCCAATGACAAATCACAAGGTGGACAAAACTATGAACAACCAATAAGATTATGATAAGTATAGTCACTTAGGTAATATTGATTAAATGGGGATCCAATGGGGACACAAGTCACGTAGCAAGTGTACAAGAAATGACCAAGGTTTTTCAGTGGTAAGGGGTGGGTCAGGGATTTTTCTTGGAAGATCCTGGTCCCCCACCCAGGTGATTGATACCTATTTAGAATATCAATCACTGCTATTCATCCTTAGGGAAAGCATGTGGGTGTGGTAGTTTCCTCTTCTTTTACAATGCTGGCCTTCTTTGTGTCTTGATTGTCTTTCCTGTTGGCTTCTCAACTGTCCTCCATGTTGGTTCCTTAAAGGCCGGCCCTATCTAACTGCCTACAAGATAGCTAATTAACTTACCTATCTTCAATATACCTCACACAAGTTCCTGCGTAAGGTGCCACCATGTCACTAGCAAGCCCCCTCACCTTCTTGAGGCTGTTCTCTTCTTTAAATCAGGACTGACATCAATAGGAACCTTCCTACCCACCTGGAGGGTTTTGAGGAGCCTGTCTTACAATGACAAGGAAAGTACTTGGAAGATGGCAACCTTGGTTATTAACTCATTTGGAAACCTTATTTCTTTCTATCCTGAGTCTTTCATAGGAACGTAGAACTGACCTGGCCCATTGGGTTTTCTTAATTACCTTTCCCTTATCTTGATTCGTTTTTTCTGTATTTTAAATTCATCTTTACTTCCTACATCTTAAAAAAGACATGTTTGCCTGTGCTTGCACGTTTCTGCTCTGTGGTTTCTAAGACCTGCTGTATGTATACAGACTTAGAATCCAGATCTAGATACGGCCTGTATATTCTGATCTGAAAACACTTAGCATTGGGTCATTGGTGAAAATAACTTCAGGTACTTTAACCTTTGCATAATATTATTTATCTTTTTTATAAATAAAAATCAGTATATAATTGAGATTATTCAACTCTATGTAATTTAACTCCTACATTAACTTTTTGTTATACTGTAACCTACATTTTTCATTTAATACTGTGTTATTTTTCATATCATCTGAAAGCTTGTATGTAAATGCCATTCATAATGAACATTTTTCTGTTTAATAGCCTACATCATATTTTACTAAATTATCCTCTGCAAAAGCCAAAGAACTACAAAAGCTGTTAGAAATACGAGTTATGTCCAGTTTCCACTATATTATATAATTAGTACAATGGAAATCTTTCCTCTTAAAGCTGGGTCTGCTTTTGCTTTACCTACTTAGTAGATATCTAAGATAGGAATTCTGGGTCAGAGTGTATAAACATTTCCAAAAACTTCAATTGATGATGGTAGAAGGGGTAGCATTAAAATAGTTTGGATCATTAGAGATCTCAACAAACAGGTATGATCAATATCTGAAAAGGAAGATAGAAGTGTGGCAGGGGAATCTTTTAGAGTTTTAGGGCCTTGTTCTGATTTTTATACTATATAATGATTGTTATATTAGTATTATTACAATATTTACACGTGACATAATTATATACTTTAGAGTCTCAGTTTTGGATATTTGGATCTCATATTTGGATGCAGCTTCACTCAGTCTCTTCAAATAAAAGTCTGGGAGAGTATCTGGCAGTAGGAGTGACTACTGCTTCCTCCGAGTGCAAAGTGGGGCTACTGAAGCACTAATTGACCCAGGGTCATCACCGTTCTTACAACTACAGAGCTGACTAAAGAGTCTTAGAGATGTCCATCTAAGACCCTCACTTCACAGTTGAAAAACTGAAGCTCAGCCAAACTAGTATGGTGGTTTATAACCTTCACTGCTATAATTAATGCAGGTTTTTAAAAATCCAGGCTCTATCCTCAGATATTCTGATATATGTAGTCTGAGGTAAGACTCAAACATCAGTGTTACAAAAAATCTCCTTAGGTGACCTTAATATGAATTAGGGTTGAGAAGCTCTGGTACAGTTGGAAAAATATAGGCCTTATAGTCCTCAATATCTGGTTCTGATCCCACCTTTGCTATTTATTGGCAGTGTGATTTTGAGTTAATTAATCTCTTTGCTCCTCAGCTCTCATTTGTTAATCGTCAGTTTGATGTGAGGATTACATTTAATAAGATCTAATGTGTCTTCCAAGGTTCCTGTCCCATGATTGGCATTCAAAAATATTGGGTCTAACAGTAATTCCATAGCTTGCTGAGGGCAAAACTAGAAAGCCAGCCAAACCATGCTGCGTAACCAGAAGGCATTTAATAAATGCCTGTTGATGCTTTTCATAGCATAATCTTGGAACATGAATATGCATGTTTCTGAGAAAGTTCTAACTCTATTGTTGAGTTGATATTAATCAGGAAAATAAAGCATTACCTTATAGAAATTTATCTCACTTATTAGGCATTAATTTGCCTCCAATTTTTAGTTCTTCAGCTATAAAGGAACCTGTTTTTTATTCTGGTAAAACAATTATGATTGAACTGTTAGAAAAAAGATTTTTTACAATTATATAATTGTAAGAAATGTTTGTGCAACTTGTATAATGTTAAGGATATATATCAGTTAAATTGCCCTTTTGAAAGAACATGAAAATTGTAAGACCCTCTCCCCTATGAACTAACATTACTTCAGTTTTCATTGACTTGAACCTAAAGATCTGTACCATAATATTTTCTGTCTCTACCCTGTGATAGAAGAATTAGAGAAAGTTGGATTTAGTTTCAGAGGCCCTGTGATTGAAACCTAGCTCTGTCATTCACTGGGTCTAAACCTTGGGTGATGGTTCTTTCACCCTTTTACCGTCTGGTGAATGTAAGAGCCTATATGGGATGACCTGACTTTAGCACAAAATGAGTCTAGAACTGTGATGCTGATCCAAAAGAATATGGTCATTAAATATTCATTAAGCACCTGCTGTTTCTTCAGTCCTCAGTAAGAAACCTTGTGGGAATTATAAAGTCCTGGCTTTTCCGGAAGTGTCTTGCAGTTTCACTAGAAGAGATGCATCCTACATTTGAGGAGTAACTAGGGACCAGTTTTTACCTAACAGCTGTGATAAGTTCAGCCCAAGTGACTCATGCAAGGAATAAATGGGAACATTTAAGGGATGACAGTCACAGAGAAATGGAGGGAGTTGAAATTTAATTTTCTGTCTCTTAACACATTATTTCTCTTCAGTTTCTGACACGAAGTTCTAGATAGTAATAACCTGAAACAAAACTGTTTTAAGATACACAGAGCAACACATTTTCCTACCAGCACATTCCAGCCCTTGAACTGTCCATGCTCTAAATCCCCACCACTCTGTCCAGTTTCCGGCAGCTTTTCCCAAGCTTCAGGCATTTCCCCACCCCTCTTTGGACCTTGTGTGCCTCAGGCAGTTTGGGATAGAGCCCATACTGTGTGGAGGATGCACAAAGGGGGCACAGTATGCAAATGGTGATTAGGCAGTGTGGCAGCAGGAATGTTTGAGCTGAGCCTCACTGATGAACTCTGGGAGGGCACGTTCTGAACTGTGAGTCACTTCCTTTGGCAGAGGTGAGCAGTGATGAGACTAATAGGCATTTTTGTCTAACCCCATCCTAAGAACAACTCACAAAGTACTTCAATTTGCCATTTATAACATTCTCTTCTAGCAGCAGCAAAAGAAACAACAGTGGCAGCCCATATATAGAACTTCAGAAGTAAAACTTTGTGGATCATGAAGATAGAAGAGGAAGTTTGAGAGACTCACAATGAAATAATTTTAAAAGGGCTGGCTGTAAAAGTTGATTTGGAAACTCTTAAAGCATTGGAAATGATTTCCTTAACAGAAGGAAAATTGACCAGGGGCATGAGTGTTTCATTTTTCAGATGAGAAGAACAGCTTTGCCAAGAGAAAGAGAATGCCTGCTCTAATCCAAGTCCTCAGTGCAGCCACTGATTCCCTTCGTGTTCTCATGCAATCATTTGTCTCCCTGGGTCTCAGTTCACCCATCTGTAAAATGAATAGTTGGCCCAGGTAAATTGTAAGGTCCTTTCTGGTTGGAACATCCTGATTCTAGGCATCTTAAAGATTGCTAAATTATGCACTGCTCCATCCAGAGAGATCTAATTTTTTGTGAATGATGAATAAGGCACCCTCATTGACTTTCTGATTAAGTAGAACTCAGCACCTCTGTGCACTGTGCTGTGCTGGGATGACAAGTCTCTGCCTGAGGGATGACGGCTATTTTGAGGCAGTGCTGATTAGAGATAAGGTGTCTCATTTCTTAGCCAGACTCTGGCCCTGACTCACCCAAAGTTCTCAGGCTTACAGCTTAACCCTTGAAGGTTGGATACAGGCTAAATTATAAAGTCCTGGCTTTTCCGGAAGTGTCTTGCAATTTCACTAGAAGAGATGCATCCTACATTTGAGGAGTAACTAGGGACCAGTTTTTGTAAGTTCAGCCCAAGTGACTCATGCAAGGAATAAATGGGAACATTTAAGGGATGACAGTCACAGAGAAATGGGGGGAGTTGAAATTTAATTTTCTGTATCTTAGCATATTATTTCTCTTCAGTCTCTGAACCCTTCTGCTTGCCTCTGAAAATGGTGCCCAGCACACCACTTCTGCCACTCCAGCTTTATCTGTGTGAGAAGATCCTTTGGCCTTCCCTGCTTAGTGAGCATCTCTGGAGTGCAGCACCTGCCTATACCCTCTCTCCTTGACATCTCGCTTGTTGGAGTTGTTTTTTGCTTTTTTCTGTTACTCAGAGTCTTCT